TGTTCTCATGAGAGGCAATTAAAGATTTTTGAAAGTGACGCCTTGCAGTTTTTTCCCAACCTGTGACTTTCTTCTCATCATCGTCATAGTTGCTGGAGGTTAAAAGATGTCCAAAAATAAGAGCTGGCACATACATTTTTTCTACTTGATGCTCAACGATAGGGATTCCTTTCCCATCATTCCACACAGAGATTGTGTTATTTTCTCTAGAAAGAGAAGATTAAACTGATATTCAAAGAAGTCCAAAGCAAACTTTTTGTCTCTCCAGATAAAAAAAGAAAAAAATATTATTCACTGAACAATAGGCAACTCTCAACAGCAAATTCAGTTACGCTAAATGTGATCGGAAAGTCAAATTCTATGCTAATCATTACACTATTATTTAAATCTACAAGAATACAGATTCAGTTTCACATTCCCTTCCTAATGAACTAATCCTCAATGAAAGTCAGAAATATTAAATATTAAAGCAAGACTTACGGGTCAATTGTAACTTTAATACAAGACATATTTTCAGCTCTCTGTTTATTGTCCGCTGCATTGACTAAAAGAAAGCAATACAATTTTTTAGTGGTTGGTAACATTTGCAAGTTAAAACTCTTGATTTAGTTTTCAGTTATGCAACACTGAATTTCAACAAGTTCTGCCAAACAAGACCAAGCATTTTGTACACATTTTGTTACCTATTCAAAAAGCTAATTCGTTGCAATACCTTTGTATATTCAGGCATGATATTCCCCTCTGAAAAAAAAATCTGAAAAGTAGCCAGGGGTACAGGGGTTGCCTAAGCACCCGCTAAGCATCCGCTCAGCTCCCCGCCCTGACCTCAACTAACACCCCCCCTTTCTCTCTTTCCTCTCCCCCCCCACACCCCTCCAGGTCTTCCCCAGCAACCCCTCCCTGCACAGAAGCCTCAGCTGGTGCTTTCGGGATCTTCCTCGCCCCCCTGCATGAGATCCTCCGAGCTGCGGGCTAAAGGCGGCAGGGCTCCTCCGGGCTGATCGCACAGGCACCTGGCAGCTGGGGGGGGGAGGGGAGGGAGAAGAGACCCGGGGCGTGACGTGGGTCTACTTTCCTCCCCACGGAGAACTTTTTTGCATCCGGCGTGGGTAGTTCGGCGAGAGGCGGCGGCTCTATAACCCCAAAGGCAGCTCTCGCCCGACATCAGCGCGCGCGCACGGCCACACACAGAACACCCACTCACTATCCCCACAGCATAAGAATAACAGGAATAATAGTCTTCTTCCCCCCCCTCCACCCGCCTTGCAGTTGCGACTTGTGTCCCCGCTCCTTGGCTCGGTTTTTCCTGCAACTGACTCCCGCCTCACACTTTTGAAAGAGCGAGAGGGGCCTGAGGAGTCGTTGAAGCGCGCCCCGTTAGTGGGGTGGGAGGAGAGAGAGAGAAAGGCGTATTATTACATGAGCCTTTTAAACTCGTGAGAATGGGCTTCCCGGGGAAAAACCGTTTATTTATATCTGGGCGGCCAGAAATCGTTTGCAAAACCGCTTCGCCTTCGCCAGTCCTCTTTACAAAGCACCGCCGCAGCTCTTCCTTTTTGCCTTTCCCTTCCTGAGGCAACGCGGGACTGGAGCCACATGGAGCCGCGCCGGGCAGTAGCAACTCCTGACTCAGGGGGCCTCCGAGGGGAGGGGAAGGAGGAGAAGAAAGGGGGGGAAAGGGGGGGCTGATTCCCCCCAAAAATCGGAATTCTGATTTTAGTCGGAATAGTATCATGTCTGTATATTATTGTTCATCAACAATGGATCTAAAAAAAATCCTCCTAAAATGCTTGATGCCCTCACTATGAAAGCATTTTATCCACATGTCAACATACCTAGTATTTCATCGAAGATTTTATAAAGGCCAGGAACAAAGGTGACCTCCCTGCAATTCAGTCCTTCATCTTCATCAAACACCCACATTTGCTAAGAAAAAAGTAATTTTATTTATCTGCTGCAAAATCTTGAGGTACCCAGAAATATATACTATAATCAGTGTATTAATTTTAATGTTTCATAAAAGTCTGATTTGTAAAAAGCATACTTTTAAGTTTTCATAAATGTATAGCCTATTGTGTTCAGATTAATCATAAACGGTTTGTAATGAATTTTCTATATAAGAAATTGTAAACTATTTGGCTGATAAAATATAATTTGCCAAGGGAAACCTTAATTATAATTTTGATAGCACATTACAAAGTACTTTGGGAATCAGGGCAACTTGTCTTTGCCGCAAACAGATTTTTTTTTACCTGAGTTACTTGCTCCACAGATCCAATGTACGTATCAGGTCGAAGCAATATATGCTCCAATTGAGATATCTTCTGATAGATTCTTTCAACAGATAGCCTCTTCTTTGAATTCTCATTCTTTATCTTCTTCACTTTGGGGTTCACATCCAGAACCTCAATGGAAATAAAACAAGAAAAATTGCAAGGAGATATTCACTGCCTGCCTACCAGTTTGTAATAGGAACTCAGGTGGGATGGCAATACATAGAACATAAATGCCAGTGCTAAATGTTGAATGAACAAGGCAAATTGAAGAGTAAAGAGGTACATGTTTCTGGAGGTCAGCTCCAGATTAAACATTTTAGCTGGCTGGGTATTACAGGGAATATACATTGTACAAAAGCAGCTTCATATCAAGTCAAAAAGTGTCCAATAGCATCTTGCCAAGACAATTCTGTGTCTTGTACTGTCCACATAAAAAGGTCAAATGCAGTTTTATGCTGCTGCTTCTTTCAGGGCTGATACGATTGGGACAATAGTGATCTCCAGTTGCTCTCTGTAGGACAATGCACAGGGGAAAAAGGACTATTCTTAAGAGGGAGTGATTAAACATCATGCCATTTAAGATAAGATCTGCCCCCAACCGCCTTTCATTCCATAAGAGCCTAAAGTGCTGGCTCTGTAAATTGGCCTGGAGACTCAATGGGGGAGTTGTATTCTGGAGGTGGATACTAGATTGACAGCAGGCTCCATCTCTCGCCCTGCCTCTCTAATCCACACTTGCCCATTTTTGGGAGTAATTATATCAATATATTTTCCCTCATTTCTTTTTCCTTATTATTCTATTAATTTACTTTTGTTTAACCTTCCTTCTAATTTCTTTTATCGTTGTAAGCTACCTAACATAGCCCTAGGGCGAGATAGGCAGCAAATTGAGTTAATAATAATTAACTGCAACACTAAAGCTGATCAGGAATGAAGGCGAATATACAGGATAATATTGCAGGA